GCCCCAGCCCAACTCTCTCCTGCTGGGCTCCCAGCAGAGGGGTTCCCCCCTCGGGGCATTGCTGGGGCTCCTCTGGCCCCGCTCCAGCAGGCCCAATGTCATTCTCACTGGGGGAGTCCCGGGGCTTTGTGTGCTGGGGTCCCACTCTCTGCTCTCTCCCCCCAGGTCCCGCTACGCCGAGTTCCAGTTCAACTGCCAGCCGGCCGCCCAGTCGGGCAGCGGGTGCCGCAGGGAGAGCTACGCTGCCTGCCTGCTGGCCTACACTGGCATCATCGGTAAGGGCTGTGTCCTTCAGCCACCCCCTGTCCCCTCCCCGGGGGGAAACATCTCCTCTGGGTGGGAGACATCCCCTCCGCCCCTGGCCGGGGGAAGGCTGTGAGGTGGAGGGCTGGGGTCTCCTGGAGATGATGCTGGGCTTTCCCTCTGTAGAGCAGGAGCCCAAGCCGTGGGCACGGGGGAATTTTGGAGTAGCTGCAGTGCAGAGGGAGAAACCAAAGCACCACGAGCTGCTGCAAGACCCCAGGTTCTTCCTCTGGTGGGAAGAGTTGAGCTGTCCCAAGGCACGTGCTCTGTCGGGGTTTCCCTGATGCCACCACCACCAGTGATGCCACTGGAAGGCGTCACCCACTGGCACCTTGCTGACTGCAGAGGGTGGCAAATTGGGTGTTCAGATGCTGCAGAGACCCAGCTGTCAGCTGCTAGCACACACAGAGTCCAAAGAGAAGTGCCAATGGCCATTGGACTTGGTCCCTCCTGATGGATGGGATGGCTTGACAGCTTTTTGGGTCAAGATTTCATCCTGGTTTAATCACCTTTTGTTGTCTCTGACCATTCTGGAGGCTGAGTTGGGTTTTTTTTCAGTGACAACATGGAAAACTTTACCCACATTCACATAATTTTTGGATGTTCTTAAGCCCAAATTCCCAGGAGCTGCCCATTCCTTGGACTGACAGCACTTTTTCCTTGACCAAAGGCTTTGTTGGTGGTGAGGTGAAGAAAAGGGTTGCAAATGCCCCTCTTCTGCTCGCTGGTGGCAGCACTTGAAGGGCTTCCTCATGCTGCCATCGTGGTGGTGCTCAGCTTAAAGCCATGAGCAGAGCAACCCAAGAGAGCAGCAAGCAGGAAAACCGTTGTCCCTTCTTTAGATACCAACCTCGAGGTGACCCTTCTCCCTCCTTCCCCACAGGCAGCCCCATCACACCCAACTACATCGACAACTCCACGTCCAGCATCGCCCCGTGGTGCACGTGCAACGCCAGCGGCAACCGGCAGGAAGAGTGTGAGAACTTCCTGCACCTCTTCACCGACAACATCTGCCTCCGTAAGTGAGCCAGGGCATGGAGACACCCTCCTCCTCCACTGGGCAGAAGGTTTCCAGCTCCCTGCCCTTCCAACCAAGGAGCTCTGAAGACCCTTGGGCGTGCATTTGGGTGGGAGGAGGCTGGAGAAGGGCTGCGTGTCCTTTCCCCGGGGAGCGTTGCCCTCATGACACTTTTCTCCATCTCTTTCCCACACAAAGAAAATGCCATTCTGGCCTTTGGCAACGGGACCTACCTGAATGCTGTGGCCCCATCCATCCCCCCCACCACACAGATGTACAAGCAGGACCGGAATGCCAACAGAGCCGTGGTGACCCTCAGAGAGAACATCTTCGAGCACCTCCAGCCCACCAAGGTAGGAGGGCTGGCTTAGCTGACTTAGCCTCTAGAGATGCTTCACCATGTCTATACCTCCTCCACGTCCTCCAGCCCTTCTCACCTCAGTTCCCTCTTCCATCTGTGTCATTTCAGCTTCATCCAGACATCCAACCTCCCCTCCACCTCCTAGAGTCCCCACTTCACCCTCTTCTTCATGCCCTTGACATGTTCTTCCCCAACATCAAGCACAGGGCCACATGCTCTTGACCCTCACTCTGCCCTCCTGCCTGTTGGTCAGAGAGATAGGATTTTTTAGAAGTACTGAGAAAACCATGGGCTTTTCAGGAGTGTAGAAGGAGCCAGGACCACTGGTTTGGCTCCTCACCTCCTTGCAGGGCAGCAGCACATCTTCAGACAAACATTTCAGCTGCCTGGGACACAGGTTCCTCCCTTGTCGGGTGGGGATTCTGGAGGTCACAACACAGAGGCTTGACCCACCAAGATTTGCTAAGCACTGGAAAATTTCAGATGAAAGGTTCCAGCCAGCAGAAAATCGTTGGCATCAAAATAATCTCAGACAGAACTGATTTTGAAACAAATAAGAGATTCATCTGCTGATGGTGGCAGCAGCGGGCATTAAATATTTTATTTTCAAATGAAAAGCAACGACCTTGATTTGCCCCCCACTGGAGTAATTTTCAGGTTGAATTATTTTACTGTTGAATAATTAACAGTGACCCTGATTTGCTGAAGGCTCAGGTAACAGAAGCTGTCAGTTAACGAGACTCCAAGGGCTGAGCGTGGGCTTCTCATTGAGCTAGTTGGTACCTCCAGAGAACTTCCACACGTGGGATATTTTTAAGCCTCTTCCCTGGGTTATTTTTGCTGGGAAAACACTTGAATCACCTCACTCCACTCCTGGTGCTCCCAGACCGTAGTGGAATTCAACAGTTTGGCCTGATGTCCATGCCTTGCACTAAGGACTTTATCCTGGAAGTGGTAGAGAAGCTGTAAACCACCCTCACCATTGATGGTCCAGCTCAGAGAGTCAACTGCTGCTACCACCAGCAAGTGGGAAGCTGGAGAAAGCAACTGCAGTAAGGGATGGGCCCACCTCATCACCATCTAACAGTCAGCTTTTGACACTGAGGGTGGTGAGATGCTGTCCCAGGTTGCCCAGAGAAGTGGTTGATGCCCCATCTCTGGAAACGTTCCACCTGGCTCTGAGCAACCTGCTCTGGCTGCAGATGTCCCTGCTCAGGGCAGGAGGGTTGGACTCTATGACCTTGAAAGGTCCCTTCCCACCAAAATAATTGTGTGATTCCATGTGACAGCAGCACAACCCTCTGCTGAAGTCTGGGTGCTGCTGGAGCGTGGTCCCTGTTGACAATCCAAGAGAAACCAGGGAGTTGGGTCTTGAGTTTGGACTCAACATCAAACCCACATCCCGTTCAGTGTTTAAAGAGATCGGTGCCCCTGGACCCGAGGAGGAAAGCTAGAGATGAGCTTAATTAGGACAGATTAGCCCATTTGCTTCCCATCTTCATAGCAGTGCAGAGCCGTGGCTCTACATTATCTCATTAACGAGCTAATGCAAATGGAGGTGTCTAATAAAGCAAATTTTCAGCCACAGATGTCACCGCCCTGCAAGGGGAGAAGGGGGCAGGGGGCAGTCAGGTGTGTAAATGCATCCACTGTATTTTGGAACAAGCCACCCAGCTCCCAGCTGCTGCTTCATAAAATGTCTGCCAGCCCCCTGGAGAGGTCCTCAATAGCCAAGAGACATCTCCACCTGAAGAGGCCACCCAGGCAAGCTGTTGGCCACCAGAGGCTCCACAACCTCCACTGACCAGGTGATCCTTGAGGTGCCTTCCTCACCCAGGCACCCACCTCACACGAAGACACCTCCAACCACTGTCCAAACCTGAGAGCTGCACACCCAGCACTGGGCCCACTGGGTGCCACACTGCTGGTTGCCAACAGTGCTACCACCACCTTCATCATCCCCAACAAAGCTGAGCTGACCTCCAGCCTAGAGCTGGGGTGTTGAGACCAGCCCTGGCTCCCTCTGCCCATGCACACACACACACAGAAAAGCTGCACAGCCCCCCAGGTCCTGAATCCTCAGAGGGACCGAGGTGGGGAACCACCACCAGGGCACTCACCTCCTCCTGCTCCTTTCTCTTGCAGGTGGCTGGAGAGGAGAGGCTCCTGAGGGGCTCCACTCGGCTCTCATCAGGGACCTCCAGCCCAGCAGCCCCCTCCCAGAGGGCAGCCTCTCTGCTGCAGATGTGGCTTCTCCCTGCCCTCGCTGCCCTGGGCCTCCTCGTGATGTGAAGCAGGGTGGGCACGTGCCAGGCAGAGACTCTTTGTGTTGGTTTCTTTACAAAACAAACCAGAGCAGTAACTTTTTCCAGGGGGAGGGGTGGAAGGAGGGAGGGGATGGGCAGGAGAGGTGAGCGTGTGGGCATCCCTTCCTCCTCCTCACCCCTCTGCCATTTTATGTGGTTTTATACAATCAGCATCATTGCCAACCAGCTCATTCTTGGTCCTGGCCACCTTTCCACACCCCCAGCTTGGTTGTTGTCTCTCCAGCTCTTGGTGGACGAGGTCAGAGCCATGGACATTTCCCTTGGAAAAGGTGAAGGAGAAAGCTGAGCCAAGAAATGAGAGCTGCCAAGGAAATTTTGCCCCAAGAGGGGAAAGACTTTTGATGGATGAGCTGTCAGGAGGTTTCCTGGAGCCCTGACTCGCACTGGGGGGCTCTTGGCAGGACACATCAAGTGATGTGGAGGTCAGAGGTTGCTCAGGAGCTGCAGGGCAGCCCACCTTGCTCAGACTGAAGGAACCAGAGCACTGGTGAGAAGGTGGTTGGTTTTGTGTGCTGGAGAGGATCCTGAAGCACCTCTGGGGTGGGTGAAGTAACCATGCTACAAACTGTCTGGCAGGGAGGATCCACCTGCTTGAAACCACGGCCAACGTGCAGCCACCATGCATCTCCAAGCTGTCACCTACCCCTCGGGCCCTTCTTTTTAGAGAAACATGTGTCATGCACCAGTGGTGTTCAGGAAGAAACACGTGTGTTGCATATCTATGGCTGGATCTCCTTGTGTCCCAGCACCAGCACCTCTATCCACTGGTCCTGTGAACTGTTGGGGGGTAGGGATTTCTTTTTTTTTTTGTCACATCCAACCAACCAGAGGGCAATGTTGTCCCACTCCAAGCTCCACGAGGGAGGAATGTGTGAGTGCATTCAGGACTTGGTGTGAACCCAACACGACCCGTTGGCACGTGCTCCCTGGGCCTCAGCTGCTCTCACAGAGAGCCAGAGGGTCTCTGCTGGGAGGACTTCATTAGTTTTCCTAGGAAGAGAGAGGCTAGAAAAGGTTTGCTAGATACCACCCTGGGGACATAAATATCCAGCCAATTTGTGGCAAAGCCAAGTCATGAATCATCCCATGGGTGGGGAGTGGATTGCTGCATCCTTGAAGAGCTGGGCAGAGCCAACTGCTTGTGTCCACGTGAGCAGGTGAAGGACATCACCTCCTGCCAAGTTCTATGTACTCCACCAAGAGGTGGTTTAAGCAAAGGCTGGTGAAGTGACTTCTTCTACTGAGATGCCACCAGAGTGCAGCTGGAGGGTGAGGACAAAGGTCCCTCTGGTCTCTCGGAGCACAGGGAGACAGATGTGTGTGACCTTGGGCTACCTGAGCATTTGGTGGTCTCCTCTTGAGGAGGTGAGCTGAGCACTCCCAGTGCCTTGCTGTGGGGCTGAACCCCTCATTAGATCAAGCCAAGAGAGAAGGTGGTGAGGAAGATTGAGAAGGTTTCCCAGGATAAGTGCTTACCCAGGTTGCTCACCACGGGAGGCAGAGGAATAGCTGCAGATTCTCAGCATTTAGGCCTGGGGTCTGCAGCAGCCCAGGTGTTCCTTGGTGTGTGCTCCTCCAAGGAACATCACTGAGAGTCTGGATCCACAGAAAGTCTCAGCAGCAGCTGACACAGCCAAGCCCAACACTTTTCATTCCCATTCCCTGCAGAACACCTTCCACTGTTTATTGCTTCAGGTTTTGCTGAGGAGCTGCAGCAGCTTTCTTGGGTTTTGCTCCATTAGAAAACCACCTTTGTCTTCACCTGGACTCCTGTGGATGTGAGAGACATGCACAGAAATCCTCCTGGCCTGTGCTCCTCGAGGTCCTCAGGGCTGTAGGAACCTGCCAGGACCTACAAAGGAACGTGCCAAGACCCAAGTCTTGTCTACAGGCTGCTGGGTCACACCCTGACCTGAAGCTTGCAGGTGAGATCTCCACTGCCAAGAAACTCACCCAGCCCAGAGAAGCAGGCAGGGAGGTGGCACTACAGGCAGGGAAGTCCCTCAACTCCCTGCCAAGTGTCCTAGTCCTGCCCTTCTACACACCCAGCCCTGGCAGGCCTGTCTCCACCAGCCTTTAATCTCATGTGGGCTGAGTCTCTTCGTGGGCTGGAGATGCAAGTGTGAGCTGCTCTCCAGGAGCACCCACTGCTGCAGCCTCACGGCTCCACTCCTGTGTCTTTACTCCTTGGTGCTGATGTGGAATCACCACTTTGCTGTTTTCTCCTCGGATTGTTGGCCAGCAGAGGTGGACTTCTTCTGGAAGGTCAGGATGGTTGCCAAACCCACTTCAGCTTTGGAAAAAAATCAGCGTGGAGAATCCTACTCCTAGACTCGAGGGGCTGGAGGACACCTCCAGGGGTTACCTAGCCTGTTGCTGTGTCCCACAGCAGGACCAACGCTCTGTTTACACTTTCTGGCAGGTTTATCTTAAAGGATTTTTAAGAATTTCAGTGAGAGATGTCATCAGCTCCCCTGGATTTCTACCTAGTTGTCTCTGAGCATCACAAGCCAACGAGATCCTCCATTCCCATTGCAGTGTCTTCTCCAGCCCTCACTTTTGGATGGAACCCAGGGGTTCCCCACGGCCTGGAGATGCTTCAAAACATGAGCAAGGCACAGAGCAACGAGCCCCTCACCCAGCAGGAAAGGGCTGGGGGGTTGGGGTGGGCACTCACGTCAAACAGGAGTAAAAGAAAGAGTGATCTCCAAACCTGCATGATTTTTTCCTCATCATTTCACCTTTTTTGGCTCCTATTGAATGTCAGTTCTCCCTCCAAGGCTGCTGACAAATGAAGCTTTGCAAAACACGATGGCTTTTGGGCAGTGCTTTGGGAGGAAAGGAGCCCCATGATGTTCCTTTCTTTTCCCTGGTGAGAAGTCAGTGATTCCTTCTGGTGAAATTTCATCTCTGCTGAACCTGCTGCACCATGGAGCTTCATTTTGAACCCTCTTGACTCGCCACCAAAGGGACAGCAGCTGCTTGTGAAGGCAAAGGACTGACAGAGCCAAGAGAGGAAAGGAGACAGGTTTTTTTCAGGAATTACTCCATCCCTGAGGACTTTTCATAAGCACAAAGAAGAGTCATGGAGGGGGGGAAAAAGAAAAAGAATTAAAACAAAAAGAACGATCCCCCAGTTTCTGTAGCCACTGAACTCTGGTTTTTGGGCTGCTCAGCACCCTCCCCAGTGGTTTGGCAGCCCCAAAAAGCCTGTGATGTGTTGTGTATGTACAACTGCCACCTCCTTGTGAAAGGCAGAGGGTGAGAAGGGTGTTGGAGCAATAACCCCCAGGAGCAGGGTGAGGCCAAGGGCTGTGTGGGTGCACAGAGAGGAGGGGGCTGGTGTCTGCCTGGACTGCTGGGGTGTAACCTGTACTTATCTCTTCTGTACATGTCAGTATTCAAACATATCCATGAATAAAGCACACATGCATTTTCCTGACCCCCCCTCGCTCCTCTCTGGGACACCAGGATGTCCACGGGCTCATGTCCAGGCTGGTGCTGGGCTCAGGGGTCCTGCATTGTAAAGACAGGTGGAAGAAAGAGGTTATGAAGCTGCTGAGGGGCTGGAGCATCTCTGTGCCAGGCCAGGCTGAGAGCCCTGGGGCTGCTGAGCTGGAGAAGAGAAGCCTCAGAGGGGATCTGAGCAGTGCTGAGCAAGAGCTCAAGGGCCCCGGGGGGCAAGAGGCTGGGGCCAGACTCTGCTCAGTGGTGCCCAGCCACAGGCCAAGGGGCAACGGGCATCAACTGGAACCCAGGAGGTGCCACCTGAGCAGGAGGAGAAACTTCTTTGGGGTGAGGGTGTTGGAGCCTGGAGCAGCTGCCCAGAGAGGCTGTGGAGTCTCCTGCTCTGGAGAGATCCCAAACCCTCCTGGCTGTCACCCTGGGCACCCTGCTGGGGGTGAGCTGCTGGAGCAGGGGGTTGGGTGAGATGATCCCCAGAGGTCCCTCCAAACCCCACCATGCTGGGATTCTGTGACATGAGGGGATGTTTTGGGGGGTTGGCAGTGGGATGGGGCTCAGATGCCCCACGCTTGGCTGGAAACCCAGCTCTGATCTGCTCCCTCCCAGCAAGGAGAGGCAGCAGGTGAAAAAACAACTCTTCAGAGCTGGAGAGACACCAGTGCCAGCCAAGGAGGGGACACAGCCCCACGAGTCCTGGGGCTGCTCGTGCTGCCTGTGAGGGTGACCCACACAGTGACAATTTGGGGAAGATTCATCTCCAAGCTGGTGCCAGCAGAGGAGGAGGGAGACGCTGCAAGATGCAGTGGGGATGGGAATAATTGCACCCACAATTAGTGGCACTAATGATGAGATGCCATCAGGTCACCCGGGTGGGGGGAAATAACGGGGTGGTTGGTGCTGCACCCTCCTGCTGGGTGCAGGAGAAGGGAAGGAGGAGGAGGAGGATGGGAGGAGGAGGGAAGATGGTGCCTCACGCCAGCCAGGGAGACTTCTCCTCCTGCCACCAACAGCTGTGAGTTATTTTTGACAACTTAAAAACAAAGCAAAGAAATCACAGGGAAATTGTTCAGAGGCAAATTGAATGTTTCCTTGCCAATTTTGGGTGGAAAAAGATTTCTAGAAAACAAAACGATGTGAAATTTATATAAAAACTCCCAGTGAAATTCAAGTCAGGTCCTGAACACAAGGTGAGTTCAAGGTGAAACCCAGAAATCTGAACCTTCCCCAAAACCATCATGGTCTTCACCTTGCAGAAAGCAGCTGAAGGTGCAGGGGAGGAGCAAGGGCTGAGCCTTTGGTGAGTCCTGAACCCCAGACTCAGCACTCCCAGCAGAGTTGTTTCCCTCTCCCCCATGCACAGGCTGCCTTGGGGGCTGGGGTTTGGCAGACACAAAGAATGTTTCCTGGAAAAGTTCCAGCTGGTTGAACCTGAAATGTGGGGCAGCCACCAGAGCCCCAGCAGAGCCAGGCAGCCACTGGGATCAGGCAGGATCTGTCACT